CGGAAAAGAATATTTGCCACATGATCGGTATGTTGTTGAACCAACATCACCGCCATCCGTATTACCACCAACAACGAGTGAACCAACAACAAATAAATATTACAAATATTCAGCATCATCAACAACGACCACGACCAATGCACACAATCGACCCGAACGTGAAGTATTGTTGGCTCCATTTCCAACCGATGGCATCCAACATCAACAACCAAACCAAGTTGATGGCCCTCCCAAGCATCTAGGTCAATTGTTAGCTTCATTTGATGAGGTAAATAATGCTCAAACACACAATACTTACTACTTTATTCAAACTGCATACAATTGAAATTTATCACATCAATGCGAACAGAAGAAATTTCATGCTACACACAACAACACTCTTTCACTGCATTTGACATAAAATTTTATTTTGTTGGCCGCCGTAATATCATCATCATCGTACCTTACTCATACGTATACGATAAAATCCTCTAAAATCTATATACACTGTGAAAATAGTTTGAGAACATTCTAGAGCCGATAAAATAACAATGAATTCAGATTTGAAAACTTTGTTTTATAATCTATTGGCCTTCTCTGCATTATCTCTCTCCCCCTCCCCCCTCTCTCTCTCTCGTCTGCTTTTAATTGTATAGTGTATATGCTGTTGGGCAGAAAGTTTTATGCAATTTTTTCATAAAATAAATAGTTTTGCGTGATGAAAAGTTCAAATTCAATTCTATATGTATTCACCATTTTAATTATACATTCATTAAATGAATACATGCGTCCATGTTTTTCTTGCTATTTTGTCATAGTACCATTGAAAACGAAATTATGTTAAAGTATTCGCATTAAATTGGTTTCTGAAACTAAAAATTCTTTTGAAACCCCCCCAGTCACTGCTTAATTCGAATAATGTGTTTTTTAATCGAAATCTTAAAAATATAGAATACTGGACGAGGTGATGAGGAACCGTATGTGGCACGAAAAGAGGTCAACACTGCATTGGCCACCAATAAAGGAATACCAGTTGTTGAGCCAAAAGCTCCCACAAAAAATATTGCTGGCCCACCCGTATACTATCCGCCTGGTCAGGAACTATTCGCCAAGAGTGAAGCTCAAGCCGCCTGGAGAGCAAAGGTAAATAGCACATGTTACTACATAGTAATAAACCAAATTACACCAATTTCTCATGCGAATGTGTTTGTTTGTTACTTTCTCATTTTATGATATTATAATTTTTTTTCCTTAATATATGCGATAAACCATTTTCATTGTAGGGTGGTTGGGCCAAGGGTAGCGGCAAATATGAATATGAAGCCGAAAGTAAATCGAAGAGTGCAAGCAAATCTGGGGCTGCTGTTGTACCAGTATGTTTGCCATTATGTTGTGCTATGCCATGTACGATTATGTAAAAGACCAACCAAAATATTAAGTGCACTCGAGTCGAGACAACTTTACTGCACAAAATAGCACAGCCAATAATCGAAGAACAACGATTTACTGAAAGGGCACGACATATATACATTTTACCCATTTTATTTTCTGTACTACTAACAAGTGCATTTCAAACGCAAATATGTTTTCTAACAGTCCAAGGAAGGAAGGGAAATTTTTGGAACATGAAAAATTTGCATTTGTTTTCATTGGAATGCAAAAACTATCACTAAAAGTCACTAATCACTTATAATGAACTAATCAATTTTCTTGTGTAATAATTAAATTTTAAATGACGTCGTACGGCGAGATGAAACACTCATTGAACGCTTTTTCCATTGTAACACCACGCTCACTCAACAAGTCGGTGAACACACTCTTGATTCTCTTTTTGTGCCACAACATTGTCAATTTTATTATCGTTAATTTAAACATTTCTATTTTTGTATTACGAACGCTAATTTTTTTTTCTTCCAATTTTCAAGAGATAACAAGTATATTTTATTGGCTCTAGATCCCAATTTATATATAGCAAAGTCTAATCATCCTTAATGAAATGTATTATTTCAAATTAATAAAATAAAAATATACGATTTGTTGGATAAGATGAAATGAGTTATTAATGCTTCCACTCATTTATAATTGGGACATTCATTTAATGATGAAACTTGATTTACAAAAATGTCCTTATTAATTGAAGACATGCAAAACTACCATGAGTTTCACTGGAACTATTTCAACCATGAGTGAAAATTATTGATGTCCAACAAATAGAGAAACTACAATGTGTTTACTAAAAAGATGCAATATTTCGACTTTTATAAAATCACGTAAAAAAACTTTGAACGAAAAATAACGGTTATGATATTAAATTTAAGTTTGGTTACTTTTTTGTAGAAACGGGTTTCAATTTCTACCGGAACCGTGTTCTCCTTGACAAATGACCTTGAAAATGCGAACTAAAGCTTCAATAACATTTTCTTTTTTATTTTGTTTTAAAGAAAGCTTTGGCAAAATCGCATATGTCAGTTTTTACTTTACTCCATATACGCAAACTTAAAACTGCGAAATCTATTGCGTTATCCGATATAAGTTCTATCCGAAATTTATCGGAAGCTTTTATTTTCAAATCAGAAAAAGCTGTGCGAAAGCTTGGTTTTTGCTCCACATGGGCGAACTTTAAAGCGTTCAACTGAATTCTCCACATGTTCTTTAACAGAAAGTTCATCGAATCATGTTAATCGTAAAATCAATGTTTAAGTCTATGTTTAATGCAAAATCTGTTATCAAAATGCATTAAAATGAAATGTATTGAACTAACGACTACTACTAGCGCAATGCCATCAAATTGAAATTAATATTAACATGAGTTGAATAAATTTGGTTTGAATTTATATTATTAATTTTAATTAAATAATAATTAAATTATTTCGACTTGAGATATAACAAAATGAAGCAGCTGTTATGAATGTATTCAAGAAATTATTCATATTATATGGATTTAAAGTTGTGGTTTTGTTTGGTCCTTCATGCAAAAGATTGAATTATGATGATCCACACAAGGTATAGTACACGTTGAAGAGTTGCTCTCTTGATTTACCGCAAAAAAAAAAAAAAGAAAATTGTCGAAAAATTGAAATATTCAGAGAGATATTGTGGTTTTAGGCCATTTTTGGTTATTACACATGAAAAGTGTCATTGTTTCCATTCATTTCAAAATATGGCCTGTACAAAAGGATTGCTGTATATGTATTTGATGCGCGACTGCGTGAGTTCAGAAATAATCGAATTAATTTAAGCATAGTAAATAGTGATATTGTGTCCGGTAATACAGTGTTTTGTGTTTGAAGCATAAATGACGTTGATGTGCATGTATGTACCAAATGAATATGCCAAAGTCTCATTTCGAACGGCAATTTCGTTGAATGTGTGTATGCAAGCAAAACATGTCGAGGATTATTCATTGGTATTATAGTGCCATAGGCAAGTGGACAATAGCCGTAATCTCCATCTCATCGCATGTGCAATGCATCAACCATTTGAATTTTAATGTTTGAGGATTTAATTCATACAATATTCTGAAATCACGTTTTAAACTTTTAAAAAATGTCACCATTATTCTCGATTTCTTGGTTCGTGTTTTTGCGTTTTGATTTTGTAAAACGCGTCTGCCGTTTAGGCCGTTCGCATTGCCTTTTGTTTTCAAGTTCGTACGTAATATGATATAAGTTGTATGTGTATGAGTGCTTGGATGTGAAATTAGTTTTGCATTCATGTACAGCGGCATCACCAAGTTTGCGGCAAAACCAACAAAAAAACCAAATGTCATTTGAGATGCTTCATTCCCGACCATTGAGATGCAGCACCAGTTCTTCTACACAATAATAGTCTTATCGAGAATTCACATGCATGCTGACTGCCATTCAGCCAACCGAAATGTTCTGAGCGAAAATTCATGGAAATTCATGTGCAACTGCAACGAAACGGAAAATTACACCGATAAAAATTGATGAAATGACATCTCAAAACTTTCTTATAAAATATAATTAAATTAATTTTTAATCTGCATTCCAACTTGACGCGAAATAGTTTCAATGAGGAGCATAAATAAGCTTCGGGGTACAAGTGAAAACTTTAAGGTGAAAAAGAGAGGGAAAGAAACGAAGTAAATATTTGATTGAGTGGAATGCCTTTTTTTAAGAGAAAATCTTAAACGAGCGAAAAGTTGATGGCAATGGACAAATATTTCAAACAATTCCTACGCTATATTGAACCATGGTCATGGCACACAAACATTTTTGTGTCTATTTTTTCCATTTGTCTATGCAAATGGTAACTGGCATGCTTACAAGCCAGTGTTTGGTAAAGATATCTTATCTCGTTTGAGATAGTAAGATAAGATAAGATAGATACTATCTTTTATCTTATCTAGATGATTTTAGAAACTTAAAAAATCATCTTATCTTTATCTTATCTTTTGGCTTTTTTTTGGTATCTTATCTTTATTTTTTAAGATAAATAATAAGATATTTTGCTCATTTATTTAAAAAAAATTCATCAATTGTCGGTATGATTAATTTGTTCATTGAAGCGAAAATGATCAATTTCATGACCCGATTCGTCAAAATTATATTCGAATTCTTCGTTATTAAATTCCATTGCACGCCCATTGAAATCAAGTTGATTGCATTCGATAAATTTCGAGAAATTCACCTTCGTATTGCATAAATGGCATAAACTCGAAACGCTTTGAAAAAGATGCTTCCACCATCCGTAACAATATGTGTTATTTTGTGCACTGCCAGATCATATTGTTTAAAGGCGTTTATAAGTATTTTGGTCAAAGCATCGTATGATTTTTGCCATATATCTGTCGAAAAGCTAAAACGAACGATTCTGATAGGACGATAAATAGTGCACAGTAATGCTTTTAAAACTACGATTTTTCGATAAAATCGAATTTGGAATTCTATCGTGTTACGCACGGTGTTCGCAGAACACATCCGACAACTTCAACGCACGATTCATGGGCCCGATTACCCGGACCGATTAATATCCACAGTGCGTGAAGTTTGTTTATAGCAGATGCCAAAGGACTTGGAAGTAATGCTTGATGTATCGATGCATAAACGAGTGGAATTCAAAAAATATTTTAAAGCCCCAGAGATCCGCAGAAAAATTAACCAACTTAATCAAAATTATATGATTTGAATTCGAGCCATATCGACTTTCGTCAAAAAATTCATGAAAATACACAGAAATTCGGTAGTTTGTTGTACTAGAGCTACTATTCACAAGGTCGATTGAGTATTCTGGGTATGTTTTTTCGAAAGGGTATCTGAAGACCTACAAACTGAGCGATTTTAATCAAAATCGTAGAATTTGAACTCGATTTATAGCGACGTTTGTTTGAAAATTCCCGAAAATACACAGAAACTCGGTACTTTGTTGTACTAGAGCCAGTTGTCACAAGGTCGATCGGGTATTCTGGGTATGTTTTTTCGAGAGAGCTACACATTTAGCAATTTTAATCAAAATCGTAGAATTTAAACTCGAGTTATAATGACTTTTGCTTTAAAATTCATGAAAATACACAGAAATGTGATAGTTCGCTGTACTAGAGCTACTATTCACAAGGTCGATCTAGTATTCTGGCAATGTTTTTTCGAAAGGGCAGATAAAGACCTACAAAATGAGCAATTTTAATCAAAATCGTAGAATTTGAACTCGAGTTACAACGTACAAATCAAGTTGTCTTGAAGTTCCCATACAAATTCTTAGGAGAAACCTCATTTACAAGAAAAATAAATTTCTTGGACGAATTTTCCAAAAAGAAAAATATGGTTTTCGTGGATTGGGCTCAGGAATCTGAAAAAATAGGTTTCAAGTTGATAGCTGATACCTTATTTGAGTTATGCGTGGTACAAACAAACAAACCGAAAACGATTCTAAAGCTTGATTATACATCAAGCAATATGAAATGATGAGATGAATACGAAAGTAGTGATAAATAAAATTAAAAATTAATTTTAGTGCTCATTAAATCAGTTATTTTGTTTAAAGAAACTCTTGGAATTTGCGCGGTTGTCTATCGTATCCTATTGGAATTAAATGGTTCAAAAAGTTAATATAAACCGAAATCTATTTTTTTCCTCTGAATTCATTGATGATTTTTTTTCAACAATGAAAAGTGTCATATCCAAAATTGGCAAAATCATATGCCTTATTTGATATTGTTCAATTTCATTTTCGTCCGAATTTTCTGCTTTTATGCATGGGATGCCGTAAACAGAAAATTGTATAATGTGCCAACGACAGAAGAAAAAAATATTGTCAAACGAAAAAAACTGACCCAAACATCAACACAAATTAAATCTTAAAATTGAATTCAAAATGTTCATTGATTAAATCACAAACGAGAGAAAGAAAGATAGAACGAGTCAACGATGTTCATTTTTCCACATAACTGCAAAACCAATTTATTTCTATGTCGCCGTTCGTCATAGAAGAGCATTTGCCAATTTCTTTGACTCATATTTGCTTTATAAAACTTTGAATCAAGCTTGTGAAAAAGGGTCATGAACTGTCACGCGCGCATATAAAAAGTTCGTTTTTTTATTTCTTTCTCGATTGGAATCCTATTTATTTTCAGCATCGATCCCGAATGAGAATGAAACTGTAAAATTCAAATACATGTACATAACAAAAGTCTAGACTGCATGAATATTTTTACCTTGTTCATTTGCCCATAAATCCTTTTAATTTGTAGTAGGTAGTCTTTCTGTTTTTCATTTAGTATTGTAATATTTTTTCGAAAGAAATTTTTCTTGAGATATCATATGAATATAATTTTTTTTTTTTTTTTTTCAAAAATTCTAATATCTTAGTGACCAAAAAAAACTGTAATAATGTATGAAAATATGATCAAAATAAGTCAAATAGTTCTGAGGAAGATTTTAAAAAAATTGCATTTGAAGAATTGCTCAATCTCAACTCACTGAGTTGAACTCAGTGGGCACTATTGACAATTTTGATCAAGGGTCTGCCTGAAGAACGGATTTAAAAATACCACAAACTAATCTACAAATAGTGCAAAATTTTCGAGTTGGAAAAAAAAATTCTGGGGCTTTTCCGAGAGAAATTCTTTCGATTTCCCAGGGGCTTTTGAGCCAAATTAACAATATGACATATTTTAATTTAAAAAAATGTCACGGTGAAGTTATGAAGGCCAAAAGTACACAACCTTTAATTTCAATTATTATATGTTATTATTGGAAAATTGAAGTTTACTTGAAACCATTTAAAAACAATTGAACAACTTGTTGAACAAATCAATTATCCATCACAAAAAATCCGGTTCATTTTATTCAGAAGTTCAAACAGATTTTAATTAAAAATAAAAACATAATGAAAATAATAAAAAGCTTTCAGTTTGTTTGTTTTTTAACAGCCACACGAAAATAAATAAGTTGCGAGAATATTCCATGATATCATCGTCGTTGTTATTGTTGCTTTTTTTAAATTTTGAATTGATTCAAATGTGTAAAATGCAAGATACTGGTTTTTGCACACTTTAGCAATCTGGAATATTTTTTTCGCTGAGTAATTTGCAAAAGACCGGCTTTAGACCTGTCAAAGCTTCTTTATTCAATTCCGTGCTCAATTCCTACGAGAAAAAAATCAGAAACATATTGAATTACTTATTGGAAAAAAGCGAATTTCATATGAAAATGTATAAAAAAAATCCATACATCATTGAAAACAATAGTTGGAACATTTTCCAATCGTGGCACTGAAATTCGTTTGGTATCCTTTTCGGCTTGCAATTGCAACTGTTTGCCTTCATTTCCATTAATACATTCGCTGACCTCGGACCAATTGCCACCAGCCTCCGACAAACACTATTTTGTATGGACGACAACGAGTGAACGGTGAAATGTCAAATGAGAAAGTTTATTTAAAAAGTGGTAAATAATATTGAGTGAAGTGTGGAAAAACTTGGTTTTCGAACCTCTTTTCCAGTTTGATCGGCTTCAGTGCGCATTTGGCACACAACAAATTGCTGCTTAGCATCTTGGCTCGTCAAGTATTGAATACCGCATGAATGAATACGATTGGCAACGCATTCTTTTGGTCCATGATGACATTTAAATTCATTTCCGTCAGAGTCCAACGATTCAGCACGACCGAATGGAATGAATTTTAAACTAATATAATTTTTAAATGAATAGTATTCACGACCGAAATCAGCCATCAATTTTCGACTATCCGGACACAATCCTTCATAATAAATGGTTACGGGTAGTCTTGTCTCATTGACTGATCTTCCTTCGACTGCAGCTTCCGTTATTGGTTTTTCATCGTTATCATTAGATTCGTGTTCGTGATGTTGATGGTTTTCATCATGCTCGGACGCACCGGGTGGATGGGCGACTGTTGCAACAATCAAAACGACCAAAACGGTAATAGTGCAGAACTTCATGTTTAATATAAATAAGCTGCAGGAAAAAAAATAAAAAAACACGTTCGATGAGCATACGAATGCTGCTAAAAATAATTTGAAACCTAAGCGTTCGAATCAATGATGCAAACAAGTGAGGCGTGCATTGGAAATAATTAATCAATCGAGTGGTTTACGGTATTCGAAGCTAATACAATATTCAACGATGTTTACACCGTAAAATGCATGAGATTTATGTGTCTTTTATAGAGAGAATCAAATTGAATCAATGAAAAGAACGTTAATTCATTCTCTTAATCTACACGGTTTTTGCGCTCGTTTAAGCTCTTGCATAACACACTTTTTATAAGATTATTAACTTTTTCCGGTTTTCTTCGACTACGATTTAACGTCTGACAGAATCGTATATATAAAACCAAAATGTAATCTACTCCGTTCATCATTCAACATTCCCTTGAAAAACAAAATTCAGCGCAAAGCACACACACAGAGGTACATACATACGCACACGTTTCAAAACCGACTCGAATGAATAACGGCACATTTGGCACATTCGAATACCAAATATCATCGAAAATTCAATCAATGTCACCACTAATAAAACCATCTCAAATGGTTCCGAATTCACTTGATGGCCGTAAATAATAAATGACAACTGCACACACATCGGCACACATATCCACAATTCAGTTTGAAGATGTTCCGTTCTCCGTACAAAACAATGTTCAAAATCGATAAAACTTTGTACAAAAACAGTTTGCTTGCTTACCGTTTGTTAGTTAAAGTTGTTTTCTTGTCAAAGAGCTATAAACTAATGATACGGCTTATGAATTTGCCACACCGTTTTATATACAAACACCAAAATATGATTGGCATGGTGTGTATACGATTTAAAGATGTGTCTTTACACCATGCATGTGTATTAACCATACAATTAACCGATTAACCTTACATTAAAAGTCAAACAAAAACAAAACAAAACAAAAATTTATGATTAAAACCTGATTTCGATAGAGTCATCTCGCAGATGTTGTTCTTACACACAATAACATCGGACATTTTATTCATAGATTGCTTTCTTATCGCAAGCAGAAGTGTCTTGATTTAATGTTGTTTATACATGAAACGTGCATATGCCCCTACCATTCATTCACTATATATCATCATTTAACTTTGTATTATGTTCCTCAATAAAAACGCTCATCTCACAAATTACTTAACATAACTTCATATTTTATTGCATTAATTTAAACAACCATCTCTAATATATTATATCGTCAATGTGGGTATGTGTGTTTTATTTTATTAAAACACACAACATATGATTTTATGCCACATAATGATTTTGCATTGAATTGAAAGCAAGATTGAAAGTATCATTTCATATATGTACATCTAAAATGGGCAATTTAACATTAAATCATTATTGTATCGAATGTAAATTGCAACAAATTAAACGTCAATGGTATTCAGAAAATGTTATGCGATCAAACGTAAGCGACGAGAACATTAATGTAATTGAATTGTGGCGGAAAAAAGACAAACAACTATTAAGCGTATCATAAATAATGGAGGTAATAATAACAAGATTTTGAAGAGAACAAAAAAAAAAACAATTGATTCAATGAAATCGTTTTGAACCATGTTTACCATACATTTGTCTATAGTATATTTTGGTCATTCAACCGGTCTGATACATGTTGAGGTCCAACTCATTAGCCTTTACGCATGTTAATTATCGACAGTACTTGATACTTGATGCCTTTTCTCAAGAAAACGTGTATGGATGAGCATTTTGATTTTTTTTTTGTACATTGACGACTTTATTTTTAGAATGAGAACAAAGTGTTGTGCAAAGTCGTTCATTAGAGCCAGTTTTCGCAAGTGTGTTTCATTGAATTGGCGAATTGTGTACATTTTTTTTCTTTTTCGCTGAAGAATATCGTGTAAATTTCCAAAACAAGTTTCGACAAAAGAAACAAGAGTGAGAGGGATTTTAAGAGAAACCCAAAAATATCCATACTCACTTTTTACCAATACTCGGTTGTCGCATCGAACATATAAATGCAAGTCCAACAATGCTGTCGAACACGAAATTTTGCTCATTTAGTTGATAAATTATGAATTTATATTGCGCATTTCAATTGCAATGATATGATTTCCAAATCCAAATGAATTGAATTGAACGACAGATCTTAATACTTACCCATTTAAATGATATGTTGCTTTTATATTTAAATAAAAGTTTCAATGCCATTTCTATTTCGAATTTCTCAAGACAATTAATTCACCTGAAAAACAATGTAAAAGTTTGAAAATGTATTTGAAATCAAAATAAGAATAACCTTTGAGTTTGCATAAATGTGCGACACATTATTTTAATAATCAAATAATGGAAAAAAACTTTTCAATTGACGATGTTAATTGCAGCTATGAATAATGATTGGTCCCTTAGACCCCCCGGTCTTATTTGTTATCAATTATTCATCTACACATATCTGGCTTTTAAATAACGCAACGGCATTTAGTTTGAACATATTTATCGTTGGTGTTGATATTTTGACCGAATTGTGATGCTTTCTCGTGCAACATCAATATTGTAAACCGGAGCTATTATTCACAGCAGTTCATCGTGTGAATTTTGAAGATGAATTTTACGTATGCGAGAATTAGTGAAAAAAGGCATGCGCTAAGGATGGCCCCAAAAAATACACCAAATTCATTGCATATCGACTGCGTCGAGGTAGTTTTTTTTAGGTCAGCCTTAGCACACATTACATACATATTGTTTGCGTATGCATTTATTCGTAAATATTTTGTATACAGATTCATATAATTTTGTATGTTCATATCATTTTCTCTTTTGCTGTTTCAAGCTATGTAAGCTTTGTCTCTGTATTTACAATTAAGTTTAAGATCTATATTTCATTATCTAGAACATTGACTTGGTTACTCTCAACGAAATCAAATCCATTACAGCTTGTTTGTTTATTAAATATATCCTAGTGGTTGTTTTGTTGTTGTTGTTGAAATTACAAATCTATGCTGGCTACAAAGTGGAAGAATCCCAAAAGAAATAAAATGCGCCCCAACGAAATGCATTTGCTGTTGGGTGCCATATTTTAAATTACGAAATTTAATAAAGTGGCTAGTTTTTCATTTAAAATATAGAACGAGAGTGAATTATACAGTAAAAATGTCCAGACCGATTCACCCAACGAACAAAAAAAACTATTTTCTTTTCTGCAAATACTCTCATAAGTATAAAAGTACATTGTAGGTAGAATACAGTGCTGTATTCAGTATTGGCACCACTGTCAGTGCTACTTAACATAGTTTTAACGCCAAGTATGGGTTGAAACGTTAAAAATATCACTGACACTGGTGCTAACACTGGATACAGCACTGTATCCTACCTACAATGTACTTTTATACTTATGAGAATAGAGAGTTGCATTTGTTTATACGGTTATAGAGTTACGATGGAACGCATTTGAGTTTGGCTGTTTTAAAATGTATTATTCTTTCGAGCTTGTTTTTAGTTCATCTAAATTTAAATGCAGAAATATGAGTTTTGATTTTTCTTTCGATATTTTGGTTCAACAACGATTTATAGTTTAAATTTATGTTTTATCTATATAAAAATTGTATTTGTTTCCCCATTTTAACCCCCCCTATTTAGTAGATAAATTTCAAATAATCTAACAATAATATCCAATATGAGTTTTATCTCATTTTTTGTTGTATAGTTTAAATTTCACGCAAAAACACCTTCAACCTATGTTTTCAATTGTTTTTAAATTTTTTTGTAATAAGAAAGTTAAGTACAGAGAAATCGTGTGTTCCAATGCGATATCATACTTTTATTTGGTTTTTGTGTCATTTTTTGTACTCTTCATGCGACGAAAGAATTCTCAACTTAGAATCACTTCAAACATCGACAAAACCGAAGAGTGACTTTTATGTTTGGATCGTAACGGTAATAAAATCTAGAATTTGTTTTGAGGCGCCTGAAAAACGAAAACAAAAGACAAAAGAAAGAAAAAAGTTCCGTTCAGATGTAAATAAGCAAAAAAATGACACGAAGATAGGATAGAGCATAATTAAACTTAAGCAAAATCAGAATACATTTAATTCTCAGATTGTATCTTGGCAGAATTTGTTTTACTGAATTAATTTGAAACCGCAGCGGATTTAATTAGATTTGAAACAAAAGATAAAAATTTTAAATCGAAAAAAGCAAAAAAAAAAAAAAAAGAAACGGAGAAGAGAAAAATTTAATGAAATTATTATAAAATGGTGGGAGAGAGAGAGAGAAAATGTTGATAAAACATCAAAGCGAATTCTATTTGTAATCATAAAGCCATTTGAATATACGGTACAACTTAGACCTAAATCTTAAATCAATCGATAAAACTGGTATAAGCATAAAAGATGTTCCGTAATAATTTCACTTTAGAAAAAAAACCATAATAATAATATAACCTACTCTATAAATTGTTTCCGGGTGTGATAAATTTAAACAGTTAAAACACACCGATTATATATAGTTGGTTGATACATTCTATACAAATCAGCCATAGTTGCCGTTGTTGTTGTTGTTGTTGTGATATCGCGTTTTTGCAATTTAAATAGTGCCTTTTCGGGTGAATGTTAGCGCTAATCGTGGTTTCCTTTGTCTCGGTTGAATCGAATACAGTCGATTCTTTCGAAATAGTAGTAAATCATCATCGACCGTATCCGACATAGGTGATGCATGCATGGCACTGCGACATACATAGCATTAATAGGAGATGAAAGGGAGAAAAAAAAATAAAATATGAAATATATGACATACAAAAGGACTTATTCTCTAGTAAGTATGATCGATTGAGCGATTGAATAGATGAGCGAAAGAGAGGGAGCGGGTTGAGATAGGGAGATCTAGAGAGAGAATGGATTCGATTTGAATTGAAAATAATGGTTATTTTAAGTGGAATTTTCATCTTGGTCATGAAACCTTGAGCGCGCGCATACATTGTCAATGGCCCGACATCGATACCCATGAAACAATGAATCGAAACAGAGAAATAGATTTCGATAAGAGTTTTCAATTCAGACTCTCACATACTTGTACACACAACACAAACGCTTTTACAATAAATTGTTTCAATCCACTTAAATTTCACTAAAGGAATTGCTCCAAGGATTGAACATGTAGTCTGCATCACTATACAAGCACCATACCAATGTTATGCTCTTTTCGGGTCTTTTTCTCACATCTTTAGATTTACGGTTAGATTTATGCCCTTCGAACATTAATCTGTTCAATTCCTTCCATTGAATTTTTGAAATTGAACAAATGTATGACAACTTTGGCGACGATTTTTTTTTCTTTGTTCGAAAACATTCTAACAGGTTTATGTATGTTTTTGTATGCATACATTTTGTCATTGTGAGTGTCTCATAAAAAAAAGATGCAAAAAAATGTAAAATAAAAAAAAGAGAGCGAACAACACAAGCAGATAACGTTCGATATTTATCAGTCATAAATCTGTCGATGAAAATTCAATCAATTTCGATGCGAAATTTAAGATGCTTTATGTGTATTTATGTATGTGAATTTATTCGTTGATGAGACGTTCAACAGAAAATATAAAACTCAATGTGATTTGTTCGCAGCACAAAAGCACTCAATTTTCATCAAATTCGAGACGTAGGAAACATAGAAAATATGCCAGTTTTCACAGTTCACACTGTGCCACAATCGATAACCATCGGTTAAATTACATGAAAATTGGCCCCTTATTTATTTATCGGATTTCATTTCATAAATCAATAGATACTTCTAGTGAAAGTGTTAAATGTTCGTTGTTTCAAGTACGTTTTTTTTTCTCACTTGATTCTCTTTTTTTCTGCTTCGAAAAGGTAATTGCACTTTGGATTTTAGTGACTTTGTATTTTAAGTTAAATCCAAAGTAAACGACTCGTGAAGTCTCGCATATGCTATCATCACATTCAAATTGAAATATGTCACGTTCATGACTTAAAAGTGTCTGATGCGTCGCCATCGAGTATGCGAACGAAAAAGAAACACAGACGAAAAAAAGGGAAATTTTCGTTAGTGTCGAAAACAAAACCAAAACACACTTTGAAATTCTTAAATTTCACATTTGTTCTGAAAATTTTGGCCACTAGTTCATTTTATTTTCGTGATACGATTTCGTATGAACTGACTTCGAATATTGTTTGCTTGGAAACCACTTTTCGTATTTTCAAACTTGTTTTTCAATCTACTATGTTATTGTGGTTGAAACACTCACGTGCACTCAAAATTATCGCCGAAACTTTTCAACGTTGAAATTTACATTCTTCAATGAAATCCTTTCGATGGCAAACATTCATTGGCATACATTTTCTTAATCGGTTTGTAATCGAAATAAAGTCATGCTTAAACTTGAAGACAAAGTAAAAAAGCAATTACTTATGCAAAGTAAAGGAATCTCATTTTATGTCATCTCATAATTTCATTTAACGGCTGAATTCATCATCGTTGAAATAAAAACACTTCTATTTAAACGTAAATTTCATGTGCACACCATTTGCACCCCATTCCGTAAAATTCAACGATGAATGAATTAATATAAGCGGAAAAGCGTATCTCATGTTTTATATGATAACGTGCTTAAATATGAATCAAGATGAAAATGAAGAAATGGAAACGTTTTGATTGAAATGTCAATTTCGCTTGTGTAAATGTTGTTTACCTTAATTCCAATTTGGCAATACGTTGTTTTATTTTGGCTTGACTGGCTGAATATTCGGCAAGGAGACGAGCCAATCGTATGTTTAGATTTTCAACGCACTTTTCCAGATTGTGAACACCATCGGTCAGTGTTTCTTGTACGGTTGATGCCTCTGTAAAATTTGTCAATCAAACACGTGTGCGTGTGTCAAATGAAAGAAGCAGAAGAAAAAAGAGAATATTCAAAATGAAAATGGTTCGGTAGAATGAGCAGAGAGAAAAACAAACGAGAAACGAAATGATGTTTACTCACTTGCAAATAGCTCTTCATCGAGCAAACCATCTTTTCGTAAAAGTTGACAACCGCGTTCAGTTAACGATGCTCTCGCTTCTGGATAATCGCCCAATGTCTCCCATAAGTCCCGTTTGGCCAAACAAAACAGATCCGAATAGCCTGTCAATCGATATATAATTCGATTTCATTTTGTATCCGAACACCGAGATCAAATCGATGACAATATTATAAAGAAATAGAAACAGTGAAAATGAGAAAAACACATACAAAACAGATTACAATCAAGCATCGGTGAATAAAAAGCGAATGATGTGCAAATCAATATTTTTTTATATCGCGTTCGCGTTAGTTCACACAAAAACAAGAACTTTGATGAGTTGTTGTTTTTCATCTCGTTTTTCTTTACTTACCCAGTGATCGAACGTTGGCTGTACGACGATTACCGGTTTTATTACCAGGTATATCGAGTACAGATACTTCACCAAACACAGAGCCCGCACCAAGTGTTGCCAATACAGTAACACCATCATCAGCCACTACCGATAAACGACCTCGTTTTACAATGTACATCTCTTTTCCAACATCACCTTTGCGACAAATATAATCTCCCGGACTGAATACCTGGATTCGTACATTTTAAATGAAACAAGAAGAAGAAAAAAGCACACAGTGGGATAAATAAGAATAGGGAAAGAAATACGTTCGAAACTCCATCTTGACATCAAATCATCAAGTCACACATTCTCGAGAAGAAGAAAAAAGATGATGAAGATGATAAACAGCGAAAGAGAACAAGTAAAATTGCCAGAAAACACTTGCTTTGACAAATACGATGTCAAAACGAAGAAGAAAACCAGTAAAAATGTTTGTCATGTGCTTATTGTTGACAATTTTCACTGTATTGCCAACTTTTCCGCAGCACCAATGCCGTATAAAGTGAAAACAATTCATGTTGACTGATCGAAAAAAGAGCGAACGAGTGTTGCCCAGGGCCGCACGAGTTTTTTTTTACTTTCATTTATTTCGAAAGGCATTCTTTCAAAGTGTAACGTAAAGGATATATATAGTACGGAAAATGTTTGTCTCCGGTAAACGAAAAAAAAAATCACGACAATGATTTCTTCTTTTTTTTAGTTAAACTGTCGTTGGAGTCATTTTATTGCTGCAATACCAATAAAATCAAGCTTGATTTAAACGATCATTTTTTAACGCGATGCATATATTATTCAAAACGAAATGCTGATAAGAGACAGAGCAGCTCATTGCACTGACAAAAAATAATCGTCCCGAAATAAAAAATATATTATAGATCTTTGACATTCCAATCTGTTTATTTTGATTTAATTGCATTGATACTGTTCGTTTTAGTTTTCTTTTGCATCTGTTAAGCGAACGCAATTCTCGTTCAAATGTAAGCGCCAACGAAATCAATGTCAATTATGCATGAATAACAGATGTCATTCATTGTATGCTACTAGATGGGTATTTAACATTCATTCACAAGGAAAGTGTGACTTATTGTCTTGGATCTCAACAAAGGTAAACAAAAAATGTCATTGAATCAATGAAAATGCATTTAGTGTGCGACAAATCTAAATAAATTGAAATGATTTTATGTGTGTTTTGTTTTTCTTTTTTTCATTCATTCATTTTTATTCGCTTTCATTTATATTATTTTCCGTTTGTATTTTTCATGCTGAATCTTGGTATCAAACATTATCCAAACCATTTCGGGTGGTTTACCGTTCAAATAAAGTATCGCGTAATGTTGGTTTGCGTAGGCAAAATGGAATTTTGCTATTATATATATTTTTTGTCGTTATTTTGGGACTGTATTTCTGTCTCACTTCGTCCTAGTTCAAGTCATTCATGTCTTTGAAATGGTTGCTTTTATTTTGGCATGTAAATAACACAACGCATTTTCCACATTTAATATTGAATTGTGTGATTCTATTGTGTAATATGGAGCCACTTGACTCCATTATTTCATTTTAAGCCCTATCCAAATTTATTATTCCGGTGTTCTAATCATCACGCGATGTTGTGACATATTCTCGATAAATTTGAACACAAATGAAAATGTAAAAGAGGATATTATTGAAGTTGGCCGGTGTCGAACAATATTTTTGGACAATAAATTGTAATAAACGATTTTAACGAAAGAAGCATTCCAACCAAAACAAATCAACGGTCTATCAAGTAAACAAAAATGCTGGATTGAATGAAAATAAAAATAATAAAATCCCCGGCCATTATGTGTGTGTGACAGAAATTGTCGGAAATGAAGAATGTGAATTTATGCTTGATGCTTTAAAGTATGCGCCTATTGGCGTTGTGACTTTATTGTCTAGCTTCAGGCGATGTGATTCGACATCGTTTCATCTACACCGCAATAATATAAATTATGACAAAACGACAACAAATTTTTTTTTATTGTGTACATATTTCTATTGTAAACGGTTTGACATTGGTTCCGTGTAAAAAGGTTATTGTTCTATCTCTAACAATTCCATTTGCTGTGGCTTTCAACACAAATATTTCACGTTTGTATGCTACCATAAATAGACAATTCATAGAATCTCACATGTGGTTTGATAACATTGCTTACAATACTAACTTCAACACAAATTAAACCATGAATTTATGCGAGACACAAAACTTTTTTTTTGTCAACCGTAACAATACTGCTGATCGAAGAGATTGAAAAACATAAAGTTATCATTATATGCTCACGTGTTATGGAAAAACTGTTACACAGACACATCGAAATAAGCGAAAGAGTGGTATCGATTTTTAGTTTCGAAATAGATAGAAAACACACACACAAAACCAAAATAATCCAAATGCAAAACTATTTACCTGAAGCTTAAGTTTTAATACCAGCGCCTCCAGCAAACCGGGCTCACAATCTTGAAAGATTCGCACTTGCTTCAATGTATCCATGTGAACACGGATCGCTATTTCGGCTTTGAATTTATCTGGCAACGCAGACAGCACACGTTCTTCATCTAATGCTCCGCTGCGTGCCCATGTGTACGCAAACCAGCGTATTACCTGCAAATGAAATTTTAAACATGCATTGAAACCAACAAAAAAAAAAAATAAAAAATAAAGAATGGCACAAATTTAGTTAAACGCTTATGATAAATGGCAAAGGATTTATTCGTTTATGATGAAAATTATTGTTTTTCCTTTTTGGTATGGATTAATAATGAAAATTGAATAATTGTGTATACCACCCGAAGCATCAAACTTTTAATTGACACAATTTGATAGCCTTTGGAACACCATACTACAACCGAATTGCGTCAACTAAAAACGTCAAAATTCCGGCGACGAAAATGCGGTGACAAACACCGAATATTTAATTAAATAAAAACCCGTCGGAAATAGAAATTGCCGAACAAATGAGAGCAAAAGAGAGAAAGCGATCAGCGAGTTCATAAAACTCATTATATTCCACAAAATGGCATTGAAAATTCCTGTCGGATATTAGAAGCATTTTGATGCGCAAATCTAGAGTAATAAACATTTAACGTTATAGCTCTAATGGCTGTCAATATTCTCGCCTATTAATTCCCAAACCAACATTTTGTCTCATTTCGACCGAGTGTCATTTTGTAAATTTAATGGATTTATCGTAATAATATGATTTGCATGCATCCCAACTAAATATTCTGGCACCCATTTATGCACTTAAAAATAGACAAGTAAAAACTGCCTTACAAATGATTTGAACAATTCCCATAACATTTAAAAATTTTAGATTAATTTCATTAGTGATGATTTCGGTTTTGCGGCATAAAAGTTTCAATCAATGTTCTGCTTCAAAGAACTTCATTTTGCCATGGCAATTCTGATTGTCAATAGACTTTGAAGTGGAAATAAGAATGCGACAAACAATGTAAACTTACCCTCGCTTCAAGTTCGTGGCCTACTTTCCGGAAAGCCATGTACTGTTTAACGCCATCCATACGATTTTGAAACTCAACCCGTGACACATTTATATTGGAAATCATCGAACCAATATTACCTGAAAATCGAATGGGAAAAAATCAACATCCTTGAACATCTTCTTTTTTTTAACTTTTTGTACGATTCCGTATTATATAATAAAACTGCGTAAATTGTAAAAATCAAAATGCGAAGAAAAATTGAAAATTTCAGGGGTGTTTTTAAGAATCTCATCAAGAGCAAAAGCCATCATAATGAGTTTTTTTGGTAAATATCCTGTTGAAAAAAAAAAACCAATCGGATCTGCTCTTTAGAAAGAGAATGAAGAATAGACACGGTAATTCCTAAAAAAAGTACGACATTTTTTTGATAAACTTACCAACAATGGTGGCAAAAATTAGAACGCCTGCTAAAAAATCGGCCACAACGAACAAATATTCGATATCATTTTCGGGTGTTGGCGTCTCACCGATCGTGGTCAAGGTCAACGTTGACCAATAAAATGAGTAAATATACTGTCGTGACAGTGTTGAATTGATTGTACCATTTGTATTGTATACCCAATTATCCGAATTGAATCCAAGGGCATAACTAATCGCAAAGTACAAACAGGCATTCCAGTGGATTAAAACTAAAATCGCTAAAACAACCTATGTATAAAGAGAAGAAAAATATTCAATTAAATTTCTCATCAATTTGACAGTGTTATAAGGGAAATAAGTTATGGTATGCTCTGGCTGTTTAGCAACATTGCCAAATGATAGTGTTGTTAAGATGTTCGCAACTTGAATAACAGTTTATAATAATATATGACAAATATTTCACTTACTTTACAAATACGAAATGCGTTTGGGTAACCGGTTGCCGTTTCAGTACGTTCAAACCATTCGAGCATTCTTGGCAGACGGAATAGCCGATTTAATCGCACAATAACTGAGCATGGCACTTTTTTGAGACATTCGCCTGGTGTTTGCCACCAAATATATGCGAAATCTGTCGGTATAAGCGATAAAAAATCCAGACGCCATCCTTTTGTTGTAAAATAGTGTGCCCGCAATTTGACTGCATCACGAACTAAAAGACCTTGATCCAAATAACCTGTAACCAAACCGGACAGCATTTTGAAATGAGAGAGAGAGAGAGAGATAGCAAAAATAAAACACACAACTAACATATTAGCTATGGTTTTATGTGAACAAATACAAATAAATGTGAATTGAAACTAAAACTCAATATTTACAAAAAGAGAGCGGCCAAGAAAACCAACAAAAACAAAAATGGATAACCACATTTTGCTGTTTGCTTTTCAATATAAATGGATTTTCACAATGTATTGAACACAGAACTTTTTAGCGTTAAAAAATATATATACATATTATATGTGAAATGTTCCATTGAATTTCATTTTTGCGTGTGAGAGACTGCACATCATCATCGTCATCGTAGCAACATTGCAATGCAAAACCATTTGATAAGATCAGAGAATATGGAAAAAAGTTTGCAATTTACTCATCGAAAATTCCAGAGAACGGATCTTAAAAGACAACAAGAAAAACCACATCAAATAATTATGGTGGCTTTATGCATCCAACTTCCGCATCAGATTGCAGAAAACTAATTGAAATCTGATGTTGTGACAAGGCCACACATACACATCCAAATACATCCCGAATCAGATAAAATCGAATAAAGAAAATGTAGACAAAGTAATTTCATTTTCGAAAGTTTTGTGAAAACTTCCAACAAAAACTCATCAAGCGGATAGTATTCTTTGTCATTAACGTGCTCAAATAATTTGGTCGCCATTTAATTTGCACATCATTTTCATTGGATGCGTTCAATACGACGATTCAAAAGCCAAAGCATTGAATTTTCTATCCAATTTTATGCTCAAGATATTTCAACTTCATTGAAAAAGCGTCTGTGATTTGTGTGTATGTGTCGCAAAAATTGAACTTCTAATATTTACTCCGTTGAGACAAACAACAAGTATTTAAAACTCTGGGTGTTTTTTTGCCATCAACACTGTCTACAACGATATCAAATTATCGTATGTGCGTATAATTATATTGTACGAATTTTACGAAGAAACCAAATCATCAACATTTATCGATGTTTTGATTTTATGAAATTCTGCCAAACATACACGATCATGATTTCGTTCATTAGATTGATACATCGAGTTTCAAGAAAAGTTGAAATGTTAACAAATTTCGAAAATCAAAAACAAGAAACAATTTCACGTTTCATTTCACGCGACGCAAAAAAGGCAACGCAAAATAAATTCGAAGAAGGCGCCTCCGCGCTGAAAATAATTCGATGATAATTTAATACGTGACTTCAATTTTAATTAGTTGTATGTGAATGCAAAGAAATACGCTTTTGGCTTATTTTCTTCAGTTTCAATGACCAATTCGATTCGAGTCTTGTTGTAAATTTCATTTCGTTTTTCATCGTTGATTTGGTGCCCATTTGGATTTAGTTTAGATCGATTGAAAGATCACACAAAAGCTCACAAAGCACCATACGTCGTTCAAAGAAGAGAAAAAAAAGTCATCTTTTATACTATACTATACTATACGCACACACAATTGCTTGCTCAGCTATTTCGATTTTTTCGATCGTCACAATGAATCAAGAATCAAAGCTTTTATTTTCTTTTATTCTTATGAAAATCTTTTGGCCAGGCTTATCAACAATCACCGCGCTTACAACGACGATTTCTGTAAAAGTTTTCGCACATAGAGACCAAAATGAAAACCTATTGATGAATGTAATACATGATCCGGCCATTCAAAGAAAGACGACTAAAAATTATATAAAATCACCAAAGAAAATCAAATCAAACTCGATGAAATAAGAAGTATTGGAATATTTTTCATCGGATAAACACACGAGAAAGGAAACGTGTCTAGATATCGGCAGCAAATCGACTGTATCACCGACACCATACTAAAATTCAATTGAAAATAAGAAGCAAAAAATGCCTGCAAACTGTTAAAGTATAGATGCAACAACAAATTTTTTTACAAAGCACAGAGAAAGGGAATATAAGAACAAGAGAGAGAGAGAGAGAGAGAGAGAGAGAGAGCGATAGAAAAAAAGTTTTTGGAATGTGTTTGCGCTGCGTGAATTTGATAGAAAAATCGGTTTTCTCGCACTCTTGCTCGTTCCGTTGGGCAATTATATTGGATTGGAACGGAAATCTGATTGAATCTACCTACTATTGCCAGAAGCAATCTGTGGAATGGCAACAACATTGGTTCTCTCTTCTCAAAATCATCGAAGCCAGTGAGTGTGTGTGTGTATGGGATTTTGTTGTTGCTTATATGACGGTAGCGGTTTCTCAGTATAAATGGCAATTCCGGCAAAATGCTCTTTCGACGAATTAAACCGATAGTGAACAAAAGATAAACACCGTTATATACACCGATAAAAGAAACCACTAGTAGTCATCAAGGGCTTTACAAGTTTGATTCGGTTATTCTATTCCCTTTCATTCGCGCTTCGGAACGTAAAAGTAAGCGCAAGTTTGCAACCGCGTTAAAGTGATACACACCATAGCACAATACAACACACATGCACACACACAAACACATACTATACAGGTCCTTGGTTGTTACTATGAGAGCATGAAAATTGCGAACAAAATAGTATCACAGAGAAAGCATAGATATGCGCGTCGACTCTTTACTTGAGATTCCATCATTCGCCATCAAACCATTGCAAATAAAAACGGCGAACATATTGATATGAAAGCGGCTGTAATAAAATTTCATCTTAATTTGTTTAGGTTCGGTGTAGCGGGCGACAGTGCTTGCAATATGAAATGAATAAAATTATTTGGCCAAACCACACTTTATTTTATTAGATGCTGAAATACGATGCGAAAGTGACCGAATAGTCAAATTAAATTTGGCAAAGCTACCCACCACCAACACCATCGCTACCACCGTTGCATCACCGCATTCATTACCATGGACCTAGATTCATACCGGCCATATGAAAGTTAAGCCAAATAAAATCCAACGATATCACATTCAAGAAAAGCAAGCGCCAAAATATTGGGCACAGCATTATCGTTGTAATACAACGATTGTATTGCATAATTTTCAGAGAAGAAAAAAAAACCAAAAGAAAAATGACATTGTAAACTATGTGCAAACTTTTATCTCAGATGAGTGGAAATGAAAAACACACGTTTTTCATTCAAATTTGGTTTTCTCTCACATTTCGGTCAATATGTTGTTGTATCGATCTATTTGTTCGTCTCATTGATTCGCATTATGAACGTGTTAGCAATCGATTTGATCAAAATGAACGAGTAAGATACGCACGTCAACCACAACTGAAAATAATAATAATAATAATAAACAAAAAGGCATTGTTTGCTTTTGGGGTAAGCAAAAGTTTTTGGCCAAACTCTTCAATGAAAGCATCATCAATTTTTATTGCCTTCCCTCGTGCCGATGTTTGCGGCAGTCGCTTTCTTTAGGGCCTAGAGAAGGAGGGAGAGAGAGTAGGGAGGCAGAGATTGTGTTCCGTTTTTGATTATGACACGAAAAGTCAAAGTTGAACCAAACTGCCATTAATTTGGTGGCTGGTGTGCATTGACCACACAATCAAGATTTCATGATAATAATCGACCATTTAAAAAATGTTTGTGCGGGAATGCTTGTTTAATATATTCGGCATATTTAGCGTTGTGGAATGCACGCCAAAAGCTCCATTTTTTCATGTGCTGAAATATTAAAGATTTGTTTCCTTAGTTTTTCATTGTTGTTTTTCATTCGCATCGTTGCGTTGAATTGTATTAGGAGATATGAATCGTTGCGGCGAAAGAGTAGCTCTTATTTTTCTCCAAATAATACTGCAACATAAAGTTTTTTATGAATAGTTTATTTGTTGTATTACAACAAATAAACCGTGTGAAAAAAACTTCATGTTGCAGTATTATTTGGAGAAAAATAAGAGCTACTGTTTCGCCGCAACGATTCATATAAGGATTGCCTCATAACAGAAAAGAACAAAAGCAGCCTCTTCAACAAATAATAAGACACTTTCTGTCCGCTTTTCAAAACGTAGTAAACTTTTGAAAGAAAACTTCAACGACAAAAAGAAAGAGAAAGAAAGTGAGATGCTTTGAAAGAAAAACGAAAAAAAATGTTTGTTAAATCTTTTTTTTTCTTCATATAAACTTACCTTCATGACAATGCACTATTATATCGATGAAATAAATACCATCACACACATAATCCAGAACGTACCATAGCATTGGTACTCTCTGATTAATTTCCCAGAAAACCGCACGTCCAACCACGAATACAATGTTGTACAACACAGCCAATGACACTAAAGTTAACCACTGTTGTGAATGTCAGAGAAAGCGGGAAAGCAAAAGAAAACGAAAAAAGAGAAATTGGATGATGAGATGAGCAGCAACAAACGATAAGGCTACATGGTTATTTGGGTTTTTATATATTTTCTCTGATAATGTTGTTGATTGAGGAGGTGGAAAAAGTAAGAGCGAGAGAAATGCAAAGAGTGGGAGACAAAGTTTTTTACATCTTTTTTTGCACCGCATGCAAGCACACAATGCGAACTCATACTGTGTAAAGTGTCTTGTGTCGATCGATGCAACGAATTTTTGTTGTTATTTATCATTCATCTTCTCTATTTCGATCGATAGTCAGCCAATTTTTTTGTAGACATTTTTCGTTCGATTCTATGGTGTGTTTTTTTTTGTTTGTTTGTCGCCTCATTGAGTGAATTAAATCGAATAGAGAACTGAGTGTGGAAGAGAGCACACATTATCGTTCGTATCATTGCAATACATAAGCATCAACGATGGATGACAGTGATAACACACAGAAAATGGTCATATGATGGTGCGCTCCCTCTTATATCAGTGAATCAACAGCAAATATAATATGTGTCTATATCAAAATGTAAATTCAAAGGAAATTGCTCATTTTGATTTTGTTGTTCGTCATGAGCGGTACCGGATACATATGAGCTTATTTTTCGATGCGAATGTCCTATTTCATTTGAACCGGAAGAATCGGTGAACTTGAATGTGTCGTGTTCTATTTCCTGTTTGGTACATATTCAGTGTATTGAATGTACCGAAAACAAAATAGTAGGCGGAAAATGTGCAAGAAATGTGTTACACTTGAGAATAAAGGAAGAATCGAATGAAGAAAAAAAAATTTCCATATTCAAATGAGACAAAAATGCTCTCCGGCAACAAGAATAACATTATGTCAATGGAACATATACTCAAAATAACGATTGATCGAATATATGTAAACGTCGTTTCGATAATAATTGATTCATAAAAGCAACGACAGAAAAAAAAGAGAGAGCTAAACGCATAAAATGTGCTACTTATCACGTGTATTAGCATAATTTTGGTTGAATGCTTATTTAGTTCATTTTCTTGTGAATGCTTAATTCAAAACTTTTGTCGCAATTTTATTCGCATCATGGTGCTCTTGTGTTCGCTTGTTTTCGTCAATGCTTGTTTGCATATGAGTGACATAAAAGAATCGGAAAATGAAGAGTGTATATAAGGTCTAGTATGCTTAACATCTGGCTTCAAACTGAAATACAATGCTGAATAAACGTCAAACGTACTAGATCTTTGGGGGGGGAGGGGTTAGAGAGAGAGAAAATCACATTTACAACTCCGATCAGCATACATACCCGATAATGTGATGGCAGGGACGGATCAACTGACAGGTGACTGCATAATATATTTGTTGTTGATGCATCTGATGGCACATCTTCCGATGGTATACTTTTCGAACGTGAACGATACGGTTGTTTGTCTAAAAGCCAATCGGGCTTTTTTGAACGACCCCGTTTTGTAAAGCAGTACCTAATAGCATTTAGCATTCGTCGAAATGTACCCAATTTTGTTGACGAATTTGCCGTTGTTGCGCTTGAACCTGCTAGTTGAGAAGGTGGCGGATCCTGTGAATTAACAATATAGATATGATTATTAAACAAAATATGAATGCAAAAAGAGAATTTTTGGATTTAAACGATTTCTTCTATAAAACATTAGTTCAAAACTGGTTTCTTAAAATATAAAAAAGTGGCCATCGGTAAAAATTTGAACATATGGTCACGAAGTGTCTGTATTGCACGTTTCTCGATGACGTAAAAATGTGTGACAATAACTACGATGACAAAATTATACATATTTCGTACTGTCTCAAATTTATTGAGCTGTTTGGTGATACGATCAGTTTCACCCCTCGGCCAAATACCAACACATCCTCAACATAAACACACAGAGAAAAAAATACACAATATTACGCTAATTACTGTTTGGCGATGGAAACTGTTTTTCTAGTGTTCGAACGTGAAGTGGCATTGAGAACGTGAGCAGCAGCCTCAATATCATAAACAGTGTTGGAAAGACGTAACGTCCAATGCACGATCCCTTATACGTGAAAAAATATTATGATATAGCATTGTAAATACAGCATAGCACACGATAATTTCTTTGAAAAGAAAAAAGAAATATGTCGTTGCGTTGAAGGTACGGCATTCTTCGAATGCATAAGAAGAATGAAAATTTTAGGCAGAGAAAAGCGAAAAAGAAACGAAAAAAGAAATATATTGAATGTGAGAGTGAAAAAGACAAAAAAGGCGTTTTCTTTGCCTTTGCTCAACCATCATAAAATCGTAATTGAAACAATCTTGTTTGTTTAACGCAATTAATGTTAATGAAAATTTGTGAGACAGTGCGCGTGGAATTTTTTTTTCGTTTTGCATCTTCTATGGCTGCACAAAACCACTGTGTAAAACATCTCCGATATACACAATTACACATGCAATCACACGCCCTCGCGCACATACCAGATATTTCCAGTTTGGTCCTTCTTCAATGCATTGGCATTACTTACACATATTTTAGACACGGTTTTTTCGGTTGTCTATTTTTCGTTTCGAAGCTTACTTCTGTTGGCCATTCTTTGGTTTTCGGTTGAAATCTTTTTTCATAGTCATGATAAGACTTTTAAGGATAACGATACGATATTTTATGTCTACTACAGTGTGAAATATTTGCCCTTTCATGAATGAGCCCCATTTATCGAGATCAATTTGTTTGAAAGAAATCGAAAAACAAAACGAAATGAAAATGTTTACCAAATGATGCGTATCCACTTTCTTTTTTGTTTCTTCTGATAGGCGCCGACTGTCGATGAAGGTAAACGCAATAATTCAGAAGAGAGAAAATAAAAACAGATATGAAAACAGCGCTCCTGTATTCCAGTATGATCTTGTCATTCGATGCGATGTAAAAATGACTGTATAATTGGGTTCATGGTGTTTCTTATTGATATTTTTTAGTACGGAATTTGAGAGGACAAACAAGAGAAGAAAGAAAATTATGCGCGCCTGATAATTCATTATGAGCCAATGAGTAAAGTTCATTGGTTGTTCTCCATCGAAAATTGAGTGATTCGTTTTTCAAATTGAGTGTTTGACATGTACATTGAAATTAGCGTTGTCGATTCCAAGCATAAATGTCTTAAGACCGCCAAATTAACAAGAACAACACCAAAAAACTTGGCAGATGATGAAAAAGGGCACTTGTATCGTTATTAATCGATAGTGATATACCTTCTGATACACGTGTTCTCTCTTGGTTCACAGAGAATATTACGAGAAAAAAAAACAAATGCCCAATAGAAAAAAGCGCCGGGCATAACTTATGACTGAGTTTTGGACGTTGCCTTCCATTTGCAAACATGTTTATTCACTGTTTTGTTTTCATCGCCTGCATCGCCTGTGCGTCATCATCAATAATGATTGGGAATAAATTACCCAAAAATATGCATCTTCATTTTATACACTCTTCGATTTTCGACGACGCAAAATGAAATCCTTTTTTTCGTTTTGATTCTTTCCATCGAAACGAAGACTGCCGTGTACAAAAAAAAATACAACCCTCAACGGGTTCGTCTCGAATCATTTTTATAATCTATTGAGAATTTGGATTTTGTGTAAAGTTAAAAATAAATATTGTGGCCACATAGTTACCGACCATAACGCACATCGTACACATCAGACATACATTGTTGCACCAATTGAAATTGCTTAAAATGCACGTGTGTACAGAAAAAATACCCTTATTCATACATTTACTAATCTCAATGACTTTTTATTCGTTATCAGAAGGCAAACTTATGTGCTTTTTTCACCAATGGGAAAAACAGTCTCGAACCCATTTGTTGAGCACTTTTATTCAAATGCGTTTCCAGCGCGCACCAGATTCAAACGAAAATCGAAAGCTTATCGAACAAAAGCCAAATGGATGAAACCATCTCAATCTGGTTTGTAAACCATGCAAATGAATACGGAACCATTTTTACGAAGACTATAAAAATGTACGATGTTCCTATATTCATTAGCATGCTTTTTATTTTGGTTGCGTTAGCAACATAGATTTTGTTAGCAGGTTATTTTCTTGGTCAAAATGTGTTACGTCTAAATTTTGTTTCATTTAAGTAGCAAAAAAAGTAGCAACGTGCACACCCCAAAAAACCACATCATTAGCCTTAAATTTCCATTGAAATGTGAATGTTACCAAAAATGTTACAATCATTGCAACGGTCTCATATAGTTCAAATCAATGCAAATAACCAAACATACAACCAGATTTCCTACAAATCAAAGTTTTTTGATACGTTGTGACTTTTATTCGCTTTTTGCTATATATTGAGAGAGTGAACGAGACACCATAAACGGATCTTCGGATGAGTTTAAAGTGTATGACTGGACCATATAAATGGACATAAATCTTGAACGACAAATCATGATACACAATTTTTTTATGAGTTTTGCGTTCACATTACGAGAAAAAAATGATTTAAACTCAAATTTCCATCTCATTTTTGCATATATTTATATGCATTGTTGTTTGAATACAGACAGAGGGATACACAGATAGCATGCTGAAGTTGAAAATTCGCATGAATATCAAGATTATTCAAATCACCTTATGAAGAGTGTGTATGAATGCAGTGAGGCCAAATTAGCACCAAAATAAATAAATGCGAAAAATATAGCGGAAAATGTCGCATCAAAAATTGCATTTATTCTTCGAAACTATAGACGTATTCAGTGAACATTTTTTTTTCTTCATTCAAATAATGACTTTTATCACTTTTAGTTATAGAAAATTTAATATTCCATGACAAAAATCTAATAAAACTGAAATTGACTTTGTGAATGCACATTTCTTTTTACATTGAATTTATAACCAAATGATATGGTATGGTTTCTTTTTTTATTGGTCTTTTTCGTGCATTTAAATGTCAATTCGACAAAAAAATTACAAAGCGTTTGTGTATGGTGCAATTCATTTATAGTTAATTACTGCGCTCAATAATTACCACAAGCCCGCATTTAAATGCAATTCAATGTCGATTCTCTAATTAAAATGCACAATTTGACGCTTCTTTCGTTTTCTCAAATCAATCAATTCAATGTGGCGGGCGCATCAAATTAAAATGCTCATTCTAATCAAATGAGCATTTGATCACACAATTGTTTATAAGTGGTGTATATGGAAACAATTTATGGCGAAATTATGATCGATAAATCTGATTAAAAACATTAACTCCAAACAAAACGATTTAATTGTTACATGCATTTTTTGTATGTTTCCTTATCGTTGATCATGAATTTGTAACTTCGGTTTTTTCTCTCGATTCATTAAAATGTCATCAAAATTATTGTGCAACATCAAGTGTATAACAATTGAAAAGATTACAATGTTTGTTTAGCTTTTTTCTGCATTCTTTCATATCATAAGTTCATGAATGGATACGATCTGCACTAGTCACAGTTTTTATTCATCGAAAACATGGGAAATTCAATGGCTATTCAATCAAATGGCAACAGATTTTTTTTGTTGTTGTTAATGTAAACGATATGCCATGAATTTTTAATCGCACTGGTCGGAGATGTTTCAAGGTTGACTGTCTCTCTGAGAGACTCTCTCATCATACAAGATTCAAAATTGCAATAGTCAAAGATGACAGGAAGGAGTAAGCGAGAAAGAGATACCACAAATTCGAATCCAATGACTTTATGTTATGTATCTCAAGTAATCAGATTAAGTGTAGGCGATTGAAAGTAGGAGATATTTGATTCATCATATAAATCATGCAAGCGTCAAATTTCTGATCACGTTATTGCAATTTTTTTTCTATTTCCATGGAAATTATACACACGAAAAAAAACATACTCTATCTGTCATGCATATATGCTTCAGTCACTTTCTCCGACAACTCTACATTCCATGAGGACATACTTGTATTGTTATGCACTCAACGCCACATTTCAAGTCCTTCAACATTTGCACATAATTGCAAATGGTTTGCAACCCTTAATACGCTGAATATTAACAACTTAAAAGCTATTAAGCGAACAAAACTGCACAACTACAATTGAATTAGCATGTTCGATGTATTAATCCAAATGCGAATTAGTGTCGTTTCAATTATCACTGTTAATAACATCCAGAAAATGACTTCTTATTTTATACATATTCAACGAAGAAATATACAGTGTTTGAAAATGTGTACTGTATCAAATCGCTTTTTACGCTCTTGCTCTCTCGCTCTTTATCATTAATTTCTTCAAGTAGCAGTTCTGAAATTCAATTAAAAAGTGTTGCTAACAACCAGAAAAATGTCTTGTGGAAGTGCGATATGCTCTTCTTGCGGAAGCCTATCGACATCCAACCAACCAAACAACTTGTTTCCGAGAAAAAATTCATTGCTTTATTTTCTTTCAATTCGAGCGTGTACTAAATATATTTTTTTCTCAATCATTTTGATGATTTCATCGAAAGATCTATTCTTTTCGACTATATTTTTCAACGATCGAACAATATATTTTCCTTTTGTCAATTTTATAGCGTTTTCATTGAACCATAAAGACCGTTTCTT